CCCCCCCCCCCAAAAAAAGAAAAAAAAAACCCCAAAACAAACACTGACATATAGTGCACACCTCTTGACAGAAGAAGCCATTCACAAATATTTCACAATGAGGAAACTCTGTGCCGCTGCCAGCTTTTACGTTGTGTCATTCACTTGGATGTGAAAGCAAAACTTCTGGGAACCATGCTCAGACTCAAGAAAACATTTTTGATTGGCTGCTGAACTTGGTGTTTAAAGGCCATCCCTCATGTCATTTGTTGTTACACTCTCGCTCTCGCTCTGCATTGATCTGGTCTCTGTCTCTCTCTCTTTCTGATAGACAGCAAGCGGGAATCCTGAATCACCTGGTAAATCGGGAGAATTAGAACGCAGAAAGCACCCAGAGCCACGTATCTAACTTTAAATGTAAGTATTGCCTCATTATAATTCCAATCAAATGCTGTAATCTTAGCTTTTTTCTTCTTTTTTTAAGTTAAATGAGAAGCTTGGTATGAGGATTGCTGGAAAATATTTTAATAACAAGTGAAGTAGAAGTGATTGAGTGCTTTCTTGGTCAGTGCACTTGTCACAGTATGTGACCTGATTTCCAGCGCGGGTGTGTCTGCGCTTTTAGCTCTAGGCTGAGATTTAGGCTGGATGAGCCATTTACGCTCCCAGCCAGGGTCACAGTTCAGTTGATAACGAGAGCTACTTTAAACAGTGTGTGTTTATGTGTGTGTTTGAGTGCACGGTTGTTTTTTTTACCCTCACTTTCTGCGGAGATTTTGTCTGTTTAACAGCCATTTCTAGTCTGTAAATCTCACCTTTCTTGAACGCATAGGAACAATTTAGTTGTTGTATAAGTCATGAGTTGAATGCCAAATCTCACTTTGTTTGCACACAGATCCATTTTAAGCAACCGCTGTGTGGAAATGCTATCCTGTTGCTAATTTCAGAGTGATTTGATGGCAACAACAGCTGTCTATCATGCACATGGCTCAGGATTTAAAGCTACAGCGTGCAGGTTTTTGCCTTGAGTAATCGAAGTGTTATCCCAGCACTGCCCTCATGACACATATTTGGACAGGTTCATGCCCTAACATGTGTCACAGTTTAGATATAAGACAGTTTGTTCATACACTTACATTAAGCAGCAGATGATGAACACGTGGTTTCTATTTATGATACTAGTGCTTTCTATATTTTTGAACATGTCTTCTGCATATTTAATTTCTCCGCTCTTCCATTTTTCATTTTTTTTGTGTTGTTTTGATTACTGTCATTGTCGTGACTTACTGTAGAGTTTGTTAAACCACACCCAAGTTCAATAGCAGGTGCTCTACACATCATACAGGCAAAACTTGATTAGGGATTTAGAGCAGTTGTGAATAGAGGCAGGCACACACAGGTTTGCAGGAATATTTAGTAATATTGTGTTATAATTAACACTTTTTGTAGTCATTATTTAGAAAATGCAATGTGAAACATTTCATTTGAGTTCATATCTAGCAGGAGTGACCACGTTACAACAGATACTGTAGCGGGAACTACTCTGGCAGGTGACTAATGTTGCACATTTTATAAACTTTTGACGTGTCTGGTTAAACCAGTTGGTTAACTGTGACGCATATAGGTTCGAGAGATTCTCATTGGCGCAGACTGCCATAACGATCTTTGTCAAAGTAATAAAAATAATCGTATCTAGTACCATGACAACTTGCTGCTAGTGATAGTAATATCAGCTCCTGGGGGTTGAATTGGATTTTCTTAGCCTAAACATACAGTAGCTGAGGCTTTTCTGGAAAATATTACACAAGTGAGGTGAAAATTTGTCTCATCTCATCGTCATGTCAGTAGAGCAAATGTCAAAGACTGCTCCAGGCAGTTTGTGTCCATGTGTTGGAGTTTCGGTTAATAAGCACAATATTAACATTATTTGCTAGGATTCATTAAATTATTATATTATATAAAGCATGTTTGTCTTTTCAGAAGCTGCTATATTATAGTGTTAAAATATTTTTAAAAAAAAGTACTTTTATATTTAAGTTCTGTCGATATTTACAAAGAGAGCACAATGACAAGATTGCATGTGGGCACTATGTGTTTTACTGCAAATTGCTCGAATAGTTTATAGGGAAAAATTAATTTTTCTT